ATATATATATATATATATATATATATATATATATATATATATATATATGTATATCTACAAAAACTCTTAAAAATTTTGAAGATATTTATTTAAAGATATATTTTTAATAATATCTAATTTGTGATATTATTTAATAAACATTAAATCATTGAGTCTGTATTGCTCAGTAATTAGGACATGATTAACTTTTCCGTTTAATTACTGATACAATTGGCATTATATAATATTTTGTTAAAATTATAAAAAAATTGCTATTGATTATTTTATTTCTTATTATATCTTTCAATTTGCTGAAAAACTAGAGTTTTACATAAACGTTAGTTTTGTTAGTAATTCCATTAATTATTTATTGTAAAAGCATTGTGAAAGCATGATCAGTCATTGGGACATTTATCTCGTTTAACACATTTAAGAAGCATAGATGTTAACGTACATGTTAGAAGTTTCTGAACACGGGCTATAAAAAAATGTCGTTTCTCGTTTCAATTGTATATTAACAATCGATTCTTTAGTTACTAAATCAAGAGACACTCAGCATCTGATATTTTAATTCAGATTATTGTCGCGCACAATTCATAGTGTTATTAGCTCCAGGAGACATGTTTATTTTCGTCCCGCTTGTTACACAAGACATTATGACGATGACTATGTCAACGTTATATGACACTTCAGTGCGTATCCTAATCTCCAAATCTTAATTCATAGATCTAATTCGAGAGAGAAACAGAGGGCTCGCGCCGATTCGACGATAAGCAGAGGCCGGTGACAACGCGCGCACGTATCTCTGCGGACGATCCTGCCGCGAAGAATGAAAAGACGCTTGGCCAGGGTGCGAGGTGTGAGAGAATCCTTACTCGAGAGGCAACAGGGGGATAACGACGGTTAACCCTCTCCGAAGGGAGAAAGAGGAGTAAGTGTGCGCATCGGAGTTTCTCGATAACTACTATCAATCCGATGAGCGAGATATCCGTGATAACGCGGGGCGGCGACGCGCTTGTGTGTAGGCGCTTGTCGTCACCGGGGCAAAGCGGTTCGCAATGATCGAGGTGTCAGTGTCGCCGGCAATCTCGATGAATCGCGGTCCTTCGCGCTCGAATACTCGCAGTCGATCACGCTTTTTCACTCGTATGTCCTCTCAATGACACTTGGTCGACGCCACAATCGGTTGACGCTTCTTTCCCTCGAGTCGTCACTCTGTGCTCGGTGCAATTCGCGAATCATTCTACCTTCGACATTGTGCGCGTACTCACCAAATGCGAGTGAGCATCAAGCATCTCTGTCGTTTGTGGATTTTGGCTTGACGGAGTAATCCACTTCGCACATTTCCCGCGGTGATTATGATCGCATGTAGATTCGTCGACGGAATCCCTGCAGTGCTAATGTGATATCTGTTTGAAAAATATCAGCGACTTAGAGTGCGTCTGGATAACTTGGAAACGATTACGTCGACGTAATTGTACTTACTATAATCTCTTATGATTCGTTTTGTGACTTTCAAAGTACTGATAACGTGCGGACAGTAAATTATATCAGCGCTAAATAAAGCGCTGTTTGCTAGTCCTGCAAGGAGTAAGCAAGTCGAACATAATTGACAAGTGTCGCTTGTTGTTGTTCAGTGAAATTAGATTTCTAATTTTTCAAATTGTACATTCGTGTAATTTTGTTTGCAATTTTTCTACGTGCGATCTGCATTGTGACATTTTGTTCTATTACGATAACAAGCACGGGGTAAAGCAACTTTCGCGGGGGATAATTTGTTCGTGATTTATTCAACAAAGAGCGATATTTTCCGTTGCAAAATAGAAGGCAACCGTTGCAGTGGAACAATACCGACTATGATCGGACGCGGGGTGCGAAATTAGAGAGTACAACGCATGCGGCAGTGCTGTACCTTAACTCGCGACAGTGACGCGTAGGCTTGTGAATCGGTATCTTTGCGTGGTAGTGCGGAGCTTTTTTCGTTAAGATGAAGGAGATATTTATCGTGTGATTGTGCTAGCGTGTGATGTTGCGCGCGACCGAAGCGATGACGTTTCGCGACACTCGATCTGGATCAGCGAAAGGCCCGATTTGAGTCGATTCGCATTCTTTCGTACACATGGGTTCCCGCAGGTTCGTCATGCTGACGATTCTATGGCTGATGCATCATCGGACGGAAGGCAGGATAACCACAGAATGCCGCAAAGTGCAGCTGCATCGCGACTGCGAGGCTTTGTGCAACACGAACCCCAACGGCGTGCTTTCTTGCGAGCTGAGGGTCGCTGTTCTTTTGCCATCGGACTCGAATTTCGATATTTCCTTATCTAAGGTTCAGCCAGTTCTTGGTAAGGAGACTCGGGCTGGCAGCAAGCTGGCAGGGCGAAGCTAAATAATTTCAAACTCCGTATAGGATTGCAAATATTTTATATACGCGAGATTAAATTTTATTCAAATTAAAATTCCGCGCGCAAAACATTCGGCAAAGTTTTGACCAAAATTAAACCCGGTATTTTCTCTGCAGATTATGCAATGTGCAACACACGCGATTGAATCAAATTATCATTACATTTATCTTTTGTGATAAAATGTGTAATTAAGATAAAATTATATACTCTCTTCAACGATGCTCCATGTTGCCTTATCTGAGCGAAAAACAAAGATAAATTAGTTTCACTATTTATGAATACAGCGTATTTTGTCGTGCTGCAAGAAATACCTTGCTTTTGTGTAGATTTAGCGGAGTACGCAGCGAGATCGCAGAATTTGTTGCCGTATTGGCTGAAATTGAAGTTTCTACCGCAGGACGACTATTGCGACGCGACGTATGCGCAAATTGGCGCGATCTACAGCAACGGGCACTGTGTGCACTTGTTCCTCGGGCCGGCGTGCGATTATTGCGTCGGTATGTCAACTCAACTCTTTGAAAATGTACCTATCCACTCCCGAGTACCGTCACAGCAAGAATAGTGGTGAGCGAAATAATTCCGCTCCGAAATTACACAGTTTTTTGTTCTATATGCTTTTGTTCTATATGCTTTTTGATCCTTTTGCACCGTGGTATTTGCATATACAGAAGCAGACCGCAAATTTTCCTCTTACCATCTTCTTTCTGTTCGTTTTTGTTCTTATCATCATATCATACATTCGGGGCTGTTTTTATAGCGGCCGTTGGCAGAATGGTGAAGTTTTTCGGGACACCGCTGATTACTACGGGAGGATTTACGTACGACTTCACCGAGAAGAAAGTCGAGTGCAAAGATGAGTACTTCATGACCACGAGAATCGGAAATTTGGCCTTCAGGGATATGGCCAAATTTTTCGTAGCTGTAATGAACAGGTACGCACAATATAATAAACTCTATATAAATATTCATATATTGCATTTCTGTGATAAAGCCTTCTTTCTTTCTCATTTTTCCTGTCTCGATGTGATAATATATAAATAACTTTTCGTTTTTCTCTGTAAATCAGCTATAAGTGGCGTAAGGTGCACCTGGTTTATGCGACCAACGGGCAGAGGCAAGTTGCCGGTCGGCACACGTGTCAACTCATGATGAAGTCAATGGTGGAATTCATCAGGAAGGAGCAGCATATTACTTACGGCACTTTCGACATCGAAGGTACGAGCCCTAAGAACTACCCGGAGGTGTTGAGGGAGCATGTCGGCAGTGCGTACGGGGGTGAGTGATTTTTCATTATTTATTACATTATTTAGGTGCCGTGCAATTTTGTCGTGTCATTATTATCCGCCGATGTATATTATCCATGCGTACAATAACTATATATTATTCACCATTCGATTTTATTCACTTCCTCGCTTATGAAATACGACATTGTGGTATCAAATACAGATTAAAGAGATATTAATCGTCTCTTCGTGTTTATCCATATTTATCGCATACCGCCGCCTTTAACTGATCGTGTCGTAAACAAGTATTTAAATATAGCCATATTTCGTTTCGTTATAATATAACGAATCGCCGATAAGTACACCGTGTCATCTCGCACGGTTGTCCACTGGCAGGAGTGCTTCGTAACGAAACAGTTTCGATCGCGCGAAGATATTGACTCGCAAATATTGTCTGATGTATAAAAAATTAGCGATTGTTATTAAGACTGAAATCAGTTCAACAATCAACTTTCCTGCACTTTGGTCCGATATATCTAAAATTATTGAGCACCTTATCGGCATCTGTCGTGTGCTGAAAGCGTTACGGAAAGCAATTTCATCTTCCAAAATTTGACTGCTTTAAAATCGTATCGGCTTACGTAATTTACCGACATAAAAACCATCTTCGCGTGCGCATTCTTTTTTTAATCATTTCGCGACGCTAGTGGAAGCGCCGCTTTAAGTGTTCGCTATAAATTTGACAACAATCAATACGCGTCGGGGAAATGTGATACATCGCGTACATTAATCATCTCGAGAGGTTTTACTCCGGTTGTAATTCCCTGTCGTTTCTCCCCTGACGTTACATAGGCATAATCGTTTTTCTTTTAATATTGGTTAGACTGATATTTATACACCTCTGTCGCGCGAATTTTGTAAAATACATTTTACAGGAACATCCTGCTAATATGAATGAAGAATTTCTCGTTTAAAATCTTTGAATTGTCGTTAGATAAATGAAAATACTAGTGAGAAGTAATTTGTTGGTAAATGTAGCTCTTAGACATCGTTTCATTGTAACGTCAATAGCGGGAAAAAGATATTTGCACAATTTTTTGGTTTAATTTTCTATAATCGTGAAATGAAGCGTCGCTTATCGTATCACGCGTGTTATCGCGCAACGTTATCGCGTCTGAGCATTTCTATTATTGATATCTGCTTATACAGTTTGACAAGTTAGTATATATATATACACGTCTAAATTTAAACATTCCCTTAATGAACCAATGTGGCGTAGTTGCTTATCGATATCGATTTAAAGTGTTACAAGGATTTTCGCCCTGACGCGATCCTTTCATATCCGAAGATAACATATATCGCGCGTGTCTGTTATAATTGAAATGAGTAGAAACAAATATAAATTAATGACATAAATATAAATTAATGAACGATATAAAGGCAATTTTGTATCAGTAATCTTTCCACACATTTTGCCGTTTTATAGCATAAGTAATATGAATATTATTCGCGTATATATATTTTGTCAAAAAATACTTGAAAATATTTCTATTCGTCACATGAATCGCGGCAGTTTTGGCCTGAATACATATTTCGAGTACTGAGATATTTTATCAACCGTCGAAAAGTATTGGCTTACCGCGGAGGATTCGCTAGAGCGACCTTGCGTTGGTAAGAATCGTCGGTAACGAGCTACGCGCGGTGGAGAGAAAGAGATTGCAAACCGTCTCTAAAATCTCTATCTTAAATGTATGTTTCGGGGACTTTAACAAGTGTACGCGCGTTTATTGGTGCCTATCAAATTATTTTTTACTCGGTTTTAACGAATTCAGTCAGATTTAATTTTACATATTTCTACAATTCTATTTCGCAAGAAAGGTAATCGCTATCGTTCGCGTTGCTATTGCGCGAAATGACATCAATAGACGTGTTAGTTTAAGTCGCATTGCGAAACACATTATCTCGCGTGTTATTATTTCACGAGAAATATTCTCGCGCGTGTGTAAGTTACGCGAAAACGGGGATAGGCGCTTTTATGCAACTTGAAAATTGAAGAATCTTAAAACGCGCGGCGTCATGTGGACGCGTCATTCGCATCCATATGTCACTCTCGTCACCAAGCGAATACACATTTGCGAACGTCGCCGTTGCATTATGCATAAAACATATCGATAACGTTGCGAAGGTGTATGCAAATAAGCGCTCACGACAGTTTTTCGCTTACGCCGCATAAATGTTGCAGTTTTATGATATATGTAGCTAAGTTGAGCGGCATAAGAGCATTAGGCTTAATGGGAGCAAGTACCGTCTTGAAAGTTACGTCTTCCACGATAAGGACATTAGCGAATGCTTTTAAGTTCCTCCGACTCGGCGCAAGGCACGATGAGAATGTCTGCAGAAAAATCTTCAACGATCATCAAATGCGACGTGACACTCCTACATGTCCTAACGTTGATGTAAAGTGCAAAGTGTTTTGAGTTTCTTGCGGCTCTCTCTACGTTTGACCCACTAGATCGAGCATTTCTTCCTTCATTTATTCAGGCATCTCTTTTTGTATCTCTGCAGTATTTCGACGGTGAATCTGTACAAATAAATCAAAATTTTCTTGAAGCGAAACGCACTTCCGATCACACGAATGTTCAATAACGTGACGTGGGAGGTAGTTGATTGTCATTTTAAATTTAGGACTTTACGAACTCTCTTTTTGTTACGTTATGCCTTATATTCGTGCCATTCTCTAGGCTGGTATCGCGCATACCGTTGATGACAGACATGTTTCTGTATGATGGAACTCTCTCAATCAGTTAGAAAGCTATTCTAAATGATAGATAGACTACGCGGGCAACTCTTACGTAAGTGACACGTTCGACAGTTCTTTCACTTCGAAGATCAGAGAGCCGATCTTGATGGTATGCACGATAGGTACGCGGAAGAAACGCGCGTGTTTAAAGCGATGATTGCGAAAGGAAAGCAGGAGCGAGGGGGAAAATATAGATTGTTATAATTTTGCGTCTGATAAGCATTTGCCTGCATCTTCAATCACCGCAATATATATTATTGTCACGTAATTTGGAGTGATTTATTATTGAGGAACGAGTGAGTCACTAATAGCGAATAGATCCGTTCGGGAAAGGAGTGCACACAGTTGACGATCGCAATCTCCGAGTTATCGATAATTCGCTACTCGGCATTGTCACGTACGTGATCTCAGATACTGTAAAGTTCTATTTCTTCGTTAGTATTTGTGGGCATGCAGGTAGAGTGGCGCGTTATCGATAAGAACGCGCGATAGACGGACGTCCCATTACGACTTCCCCGAGATATTTTTAATACTTTCCAAATCTTTTTTCTCACTTCTCGAAGCGATGAGTCAGCCTTACGTCGCGTGAATCGCAGATTTTCGTATTTAATATACACCGAAGGGAATGTTTAATCTCGCCTTCTGCATTTTACTGTTTCTTTACGAAGAGAATTACGGAGAAATATCTGAAAGCGTGTAGCAAAATCCTACGAAATTTCATCCAGAGCACTCCATCGTGTCTCGGATCTACTGTGGAGTGCCTTAGGATCAGATTCCATAAGCTTTTGTTTCCTCTGTCCTTTTTTAACGAAAAATGTGAAGTAAACTGTTTATTCGTTGCAACTTTACCATTTCCAACTTGGAACTTCCCGACGAGCAAATCCCAAATGAAATTTCCGTTAAACTAAAGTTAATTCGCGTGTGAAATTAACCAACAAACGGAGTCGCGTTCCGATCCATTTACACTCCCACTTGCACAACCTTAATTCGCGAGAATCCTTTTATAGTTTCGGCGCGGAGCACCTTCGGTCCTTTAAGTAGGAGATACTTCGATTGTGTTTTTCGCGCGAGTGTATCGCGCGATATTTCAACTTTCTCTAAAAAGAAAAAGAAAGAAAGCGAAAGGAGAAAGAGAGAGTAAAAAGCTCCCTACATCGTACTCGTTGGTGGATTACTCTCCCAAGGTGATTTCTTTTCCGCGGAATCCACAGAGGACCCGCACGATCGCGAGCGCGCATCACTCTCCGAAGATAGATAACCCGTGTATAGTAGTGGCTTATCACTTCTAACTCGCAGCCCTAAACGCTCCCGTCCATGTCCCGTAGCGATTCGCTGCGGAATGAAAGGTGTGGTGTGTACCAAGAGGGTGTACAGAGGATCGACGCATGCGTTCTATTTCCTCGTTGTCTACCTTCGTAGAGGCGCACAGCGACGTCCACCTACACGATCTCGGAGTGGTGCGTATTCGCCTAGAGCGAGGCTGGCCGATGTGGGGGTGCGATAAAGAGAGAGACCGGCGCGGCCGAGATAGATAGATAGACAGATCGAGAGATGGATAAGGAGAGAGATAGAGAGAAGAGGGCGGAGAGGGCCGGTGGGATCGAAGGGAGGAAAGGAGAGAGCTGGAGGCAGAGGGAGAGCGAAAGAGAGAGAGATGGTAAATGAGGATGGAGAGGAGGAGTGATCGTCGACTTCGGTGGGCGATCCGGAGCACCGTGCTTTCCTTCGGTCCGCTCTCAGTTTCAATCGCGCGCTCCGAGCTTGCTCCGAGAGCGCGAGGAGAGATCCGCGGTGATCCGGTGATCGAGGCAATTCTACCGTCGCGATCGATCGCGGGAACGTAACCGACAGCTGCCTAGATCGCAATGGTCCGACGGAGAGTTTGAAATGATCGATTGGTTGGTCAGATGAGCGGGGAGAGGCCGGAGTCCACGATCGATCCGATCGATTCTCGATCGCGAAGGTGCCTGCCACCGGTTTGGTTCTCCAAGGGAGACCGGCCGTCTTCGTGCGACATTGACTCGCGTGCAACACGTGTCTCGTGACGGAATCGCAAATGAAAATCGAATTCAGTCGGACATGGTAAACGAGCTGATCTGGCAGTGAATAGAAACCGCATTGGACCATACTGGAGAACGTCGTATTCAATCGCAGGCACGTGATCGTCGCAGATAGACTACGACATTAGGCGACACGATTCGCTATACGCGTATCTTTTTCGTTGTTAAAGGGACCATCTGAGTCCGGTAAGCTCCGTGCACGGCTAGACTTTTACATCTGTCTGCGATAAAGCTCCGAGACAGCTCAAATTCGAAATTGTCCGCTCGTGCGTAGTGGCTCTCTCGAGCGGAAAACACGTGACATTTCTTCGCTGGATCAGACGGCTTTTCCATCTATATGGAAAGCTCTCGATACCTCTACGTCAGTCGACCGGCCTCTCCCAGCGCCTGATTGGCGAACTTCGGCAAAGGACGGCACGGAAACTGTTGTTAATTATAATGGAATCGTGAATTCTCTTCGTCGTAAGATCTCTTCGAAATGTTTGGCGAAGTTTGAATCGACTTCTTTGTAATGTGTGTAGTAATTAAATACCCGTGAATTATCACGAGTATCGTCATTCAAAAACGATGCAGAGTGAGCAAACTTTACAATGAGTGAGATTCATATTGAATGCGGAATTAATTCAAACTAGATCTTACAAATTTGTAGGCTTGTTATTACAGGAGGCTTGTCTTTAGTTGTAGCCTTTTAATTGTGCCTTTTAATTGGCCATAATTACGCAAGAATGATTCAACTCACAGAATTATAATTTTTGAATTTTTGTCACCAATGAATAGTTCATACGTCTCTCTGCATAAAACAAAAAGGATCCAAGCCTTACAGGCGCCTAAAATTAATAAAAATAAATAGTTTTATTTTCTACTAGTTGCACCATTTTTGTTAGTTTTTTCTATCCATCTTTTTAAAGCTTTTTTTAAGCTTGTCAATGAAAAAACTTCAAAGAGAAGAAAATTGACCATGCCTAACTTGTGGAACGTTTGCGAATAACCTCAGTGCTATCCATACTTTTTAGATCATTCATTAAATTTTCATCATTATTTTTCTAGAAACGTACTTCATGGTTTGAATCACTCTTGCATGAGTAAGGTTACAGTTGTGCAAAATTCAAAGTGCGAAATATCTTCCGAGAAAGCTTAATGAATAATACATTTGTAAATTGTAATTATTGCGATAAACACCGAGTACTTCTCTCTTGCACCACGCGAAGGAGAGTTTGCGACGTCAATTTAGATCGAGAAATGCCTCCGCGCGGAGGCTGCCTCAACTTCCCAGACGTCGCGTCGTCGATACGTATTTCCACTCGCATTATGAAATCGCGACGACACGTCTCGGACACTTTTGTAAATCGCGCCGCATTCGCGCGCTTCTTCTCAGCAATGCTAATCGTCGACGCGAGAACGGACGGACTGATCGCCGCGCGGGTCGTAAAAAGTCGCGCGGATGTTTTTGCTCCGCGCGGCGCTGACGAGAACAGCTGCTATGGTAATAAATTCCCAGGCTTTTGCCTTGTTTTTCTCCCCTTTCGGCGTCGACTCATATTGGCAGCGGGAGCAAATATATTCGTGTACACACACGACACGGTAGGGCCTTTATTTCGCGCGGAATATCTTTTTCTCCTCCGTCGCGCCGGAGCGCGAACGATCATCGATGCGAATCCGCCGGCTGATGCCGGGAGCTTATTCGTTATGCGAATTTTATACGATCTCACGGTGCCGTAAAGGCTTTAGAGCAGCAGTAGTTCAGTCTCACCTCGTGGAGAGAGGGAGAGAGAGAGAGAGAGAGAGAGAGAGAGAGAGAGAGAGAGAGAGAGAG